CCCCCCACACACGACATAATACAGCCCCGAGACCACGAGTTACCACTATATCTACAAGACAACACATCCTGGGCCAGCTGTCTAAATGTTCTAAGCCAAGAGAGAAACATTTTTTGTTAGGAGAGAGAAACGAAACTGGTTCATAATATCTTTACCAAGTTAACTGACTTGCTTTATGTGTCTTTTCTTCCTTTTTCCAATATTTGGTATTTGAATTCCGGACAAAATATTTCTCGAGCACATTTAACCGATATTGCAGATTAGAAAAAAACGCAATTTTAGAAATTCAAAATGTTGGGACTTGTGCATCTCAACAGCTTGTCGGCGTCATGGAATCTTTCTATGACACTGTGTTACTTAAAAGTACAAAGTTCTTTCTGACATTTTTGACCATTTTGAGTTACCAAGACTATGAGGTCAGAAACCCCGTTCTATAAATATGCTCTATCAAAATCGTAAGATTGTCCAGGGTGGTTATCACGATATTCAAAGAATTGCATTCGAAAAAGCTTGATATGTTGTGAAACTCAACAATTTGTTGACGTCAAGTTTATCCAATGTAGGCACTGGTCAGAGAGAACTGTGTACTTCTCGGGTAGCGAATCCACAGGCAACCACCTGCTTTTTTACGCCCACTAAGCGCCACATTTGGCGAGAGAAATTGCCTTCTTTTCACGAGTCAAGACAAGTATAGAGAGGAAATCATTGCCTCAGTGTCTGCGCCGACATTTGAACAAACCCCGCCTCTGTACGTAGTTGCAGTCCCCGAGGAAATAAAGGAAGGGAAGCTACTCTATTCTGTGTAACAGTGACAAGGGACATCACCGTGTGCTGTTTTTCCCGGAAATTGGAAAGGAGGAGTTAAAATTCGTTCCTTTTTGTTGATGGCATGTCGTCTGTTCACAAACAAGAACATGGCAGGTTCTACGATTTGGTTGATTTCAGAAAAAAATTTGATGATTAGCTCACAATGTAATGGAAAACGTGGGAACATGATTAGGCTATTACTTGTGGCTGGTTGCTGATACATGCAAAAATAGACATTGGCAGGGTTTGTTCAATTCATTTTTGCTCCTGAATTGTTGTCTCTTTCGTCGCATAAAAAACCCAAACGAAGTGAATTTAAAAAAAAAACCGGAACGACAAAGTAAACTGTTTAAGGGAACGGTCAATAAAAACACAGAAGCACAGGACAAAAAAACCCAAAACAAACAAAAACAATCTATACAAAACAGCCGAAATAAAAATTCTCCACAGAAAAAACCACACACACATACACATACACACACACACACACACACACACACACACACACACACACACACACACACACGTATACACACTCACACAGTTTGACTGAACAACCGAGAGACCCAACTTATCAATTTTCTTATCACTCACTATGTAATGACTTGGCATTGAACTGTGGCTCTGCTAAGATGAACTATACCAAAGATCGTTCATAACAAGATTGTTCACTCAGCCAAAAAGTGTCTGCGGAAGTCCGCGCATTGCTTCAGATGGCGCTGCAGTCTTTGTTTTGAAGCTTTGTTTTGTTTCTCCGGAAGAAGAATAGGTATATAGCACTGTTTGTTAATTTCGCTTTTATTGTTTTTCACACAAGTAGGGTAACTCTTATCGCAAAGTCCGTACTTTTTCGAAGAGGGCGCCACCGAATTTTGAGGGAACTTTTTTAATTGACTCAAAGAGAGGAGTCAAGCCATTTTGTTGTGTACGATCTTTGACTATACTCTTAACAACCGTTCGGTTCAACAATCTAGCGACCCTTCTTATCAAAATGTTCCTTTTTCCTTCTTTTGGCAGATGCGTTCCAGTCTAGTCTCCCGAGTGCTGCTGGTGCAGTTGGTAGCGTTGTTGTTGGTGGGTCTTGCGGTCGGATCCCCGGCCCGACTCTTGAAACGACTCAACAGCAATGAGCTGTCTCTCTGTGATACTGACGAGTTCATCTCGGACGTCTGCTATCAGGTACGTTTGTTCGTTTGTTTGTTTGTTTGTTTGTTTGTTTGTTTGTTATTTTTTATTAAGGTTTTACGGCGCTCGCAACTGCATAAGGTCATATGAGCGCCAAGGGGTGGATGTCAACAGAGAAGTCCAAACGGGGAACCAGGCCTACTCTGCTCACTTTTCTATCCCCAACAACACCCGTTTTGACTATCAAGGCTCCCCGGAAATAGCAGTTCACAAGAGAGTAACAAACATACAAAAGAAGTAGAGGAAAAATGACGATAGTAAGGATGAGGAAAGAAAAAGCAGCAGTTCGCCCTATGTTGTTCCGTCACAGTTATGAGCATGACATTGATAAATCAGCCCATTTACTATTCTACTGTGCATAAGATCATGTTAATATCCCTCCTTTGGGAATGGCCTAAAGACAACTTCAGTCAGTAGCACTGCCCTGGGGGCATGAAGCACATGTTTCCAAGCTTTTTGCTTTTGTTTCGTCCTTTTTTTTTCTTTCTTTTTTTCGATTTATGTTTTTGTTTGTTTATCTCTCTCTTTTTAGGGGTTCGGTGAGGTTTCTATTCTTTTAGTTTATGTTTCATCTTGTTTTCGGTTCTACTTTTTATTTTTGTTTATCTCTCATTTTTTAGTGGTGCGATGAGTGCTTGGAGTGGGGGGAG